TACACTTGAACTAGATTTCATATTGTGTTGTGTGAGAGATTCCACATGTTGTTATTCCATACAAATGTTTTCTCCCAAGAAGCAGAACAAAGTATGATATTCAAAAGAACATAACAATAAAACATATGGATTAGAAAAAAAAATCTGTCATCTTAAATGAGCAATATCATTCTTTAGCTCGCCTCCAGTGGGTCTGAGATGTTCCTAGGCTGTTCTAAACTATGAGAAGTTCATTTTAGGACAAAGAGAGTTTTCTGTTCTGTTTTTTACGTTTTCCTGTGTAAATCATTGGGGGGGGGGGGGCGCAGGGGAGAGAAAAAAGGGTGGAATTATGCTCTGGACGCTGATGCCTTTGCATTTTTGGCATTATGCCTTCTTACTGTTTTATTGTCTATTTTGGCTGAACTTGAAGTTCCAACCATGCTCCCTGCCAAAAAGAAAAAAAGAAAAAGTTAGGTCCTTTAAGGATACTGAAAAATGAAGCCAGTTTTTGAATCCGCCACGTCCTGTAAGCAAATAAAAATGAATCTCTATGGAGCTCAAACGTTACTTCCTGTTCTCCTTTGGATTCCAAGCAGGAATGGAGCAATTTTATTCTGCATCCAAAAAAAAAAGGGGGGGGGGGGGGGGGGGAGGGATGGTGGAATAGAGGACTTCAAAGCAACACCAAGAAATCTTTGAAAGGCTTCTATGCAGCTAACTTTTAAAATGTGTGTAAAATGTTTTACACTTTAAGTAATATACGGCTGTACTTGGAAAAATGTGCAGCAACTTCCCCTCTTCGCCCCAGCACTCATATTTTGTAAGACAGCATAATAAGGGTAGAATTTTTTTTTTTTTTTGTATATTTCCCTTTCTACTGGTTTTGTAAGCATTACTTACTAAGCTTGCAAATGTTTCAGTATTGATAGTATATACTAATTTTTTAAGACATGTGAAAGTGATCAAAAAGATCTTACTTGAGGTTTCCTGAGGAGACCAAAATGAGAGGAGAAGCTAAGAGGGAGAGAGAAAGATGCTTTTTCCAGACAAACTAACTAGGATTTTTATATAGTAACCTGTATATTGCGATACCTGGTTCCACAGATAAAGTAGAGATTGTAAGTTTAGGTGCTGCTACTGTCCTAACTTTTGAATGAATGAATACATTTTTCTGACATAAAAGATAAACTGCTAACACAAAATTGACTTCTGGATTTTTGCCACTGTAAAATTAGGAGTAACTCTAACCCAAGAAGACTAGCCAAGCTTGAAATTCACTGCGGACAAATGTTCTTTGCGCATAATTCTAGAGGAAACTATTTTTGGTAGTGAATGAATATATGTAATCATTAACACATGACGGGGCCACTGTAAAGGCATAAGGCTGAAGCATGAATGCTTCCAGCACCCAAGAGGTGCTTTTGTATTTTACTTAATAAACTGTCTGGAATGTGCTATTACTTTTACTTTTCTGTTTTCTTATTTTAAAGTTTACGTTAATAAAGTAACTTTAAAATTATTTTTAGGAGAAAATACTTGATTTCTTTTCCTCAAAAGAGGCAAAATGATGTAGCTCAAAAAAAGTCAGTTGTTCTGTTGCAAGGAAACAGAGAAAAGAAGACAAAGAATCTACTGAGATCCTTGAACATCCTTCTATAGCAGTTTTCAGTGTGTATATTTACTTGTGCTTGTCTGGAAAGGGTGAATTACCTGAGAGGCACTTTGGATTTTTGTGTAATAGTAGAAGCTACTATTACTGGTTTTGCAGAGAGTTAAGTTGGGGTGATCACATCATGCTTCTTGCCTCACTAAAAGGCTTCATTTGATTTCTTGACATACAAAGAGGCATAGAAGGCCTGTCAGCATTGTGGACCCGATTACAGCAGTTTTCTGAAAGTAGCTTTTAGCACAGCCATGTCTGTTATCTTGCTGAGCTCCTGGACTGAGTTGCAAGGAAGGTTTAGAAGTGATAAGAAAACCCAGAAATAACTGAATTGATGTCCAAAAGATTGCTAGGTGGCATGGAAAACAATCTACTGTATTGCATGAAACTGAAGGCTAGCTCCACTTGTGGGCCAGTGAAAGAATGCTGTAAGTAAATCTAGGCGCTCTCCTTTTTCTGTTACATGCGCAATTGGGTAAAAGCTTTATTCTGTCCCTTTAACATCTGTGGGCTATTTACTCTATTAACAATAGGATGGTAGGTAATGCACAATGGCATAGACTAAGCATCTAAGAATGGACTATTTCCGTGGGGCAGTGGAAAGATTCAGGAGATTGTCACTCTATATCCCACACTCCCCTTCTCAGTGGTCCTGAGTCAGACTGTTAATAACCTGGATGAGATCCCAACTTCCATGGATGTCAGAGGGAATTTTACCTTACTAAAATGGATGATCTGCATACATTGATTGATGGCCTAGGCCTGTGTTCTTTTATCTCTGACAGGGAATAAGGAAGTTAATAACTTTCTAATGGATTTGGACTCTTTTTATTTGTTTATTTATTTTTAAAGTCTGAACTCAGAAGGGTTATACAAACAGTAACTACTGGGAATAAGATTTATTTATAGGTGGAGTATTAAACAAGAGCTATACATCTGGAAGCTTTTATTGGATCAGACCCTATCTGGGATTGTGATTCAACCAAGAAACATAACAGGAAACAAAGAAAATGACACTAGTAACTCAGAATATTTAATTTTTAAAAATTATTTTTTATAAAGAAAATGAATAATTATAAATTTCATTCATGTAGTTTAATATTTGTGATTTTACACAAAATGCTTATTTTTCCACATTACAGTCTTCACCTGTAATCATTTTAGCTGTTCTGTTGTCGTGAATCTTTTTGGCTAATGTTTCTTAACTGCTTTCATAAATACACAAAACCAGAGTTTTAATATGTCCCATCTTCCATGCACCACAGAATTTTTGTGGTAGTTCTGTCTCTTATTTTAAAACTCAAACCTTCAGACTATAAATTTCAGTGCTGTTGAATTGGACTCCCATCTTAATTTTGTAATTTCAGAGGAAAACTTCTTTGAAACTAATAGTACCCCAAACTTCTATTTTAACCTGATTTTCTAAGGAGAAGAGAATTAGTCAATAGTGCCATGTCTGTCTTCCATGTACCTGTTTAAAAACTTCTGAACTGATACCAGTTTTAAGCAGGTTTGACAGAGGGGTTGCTGTTCTGGTACTGCATTTTACACAAGGCCTGCTCAATATACTAAGGCCTTGTGCAGCCCTGAAGCATCAGAAATGCAGACTGCTCTGTTTGGTCTCACTTTCAGAACAGGTACAACTGTCAGTCACTTTGCAAGCGCAGCCTTAGCAACCTTACAGCTATGATATAGACCAGCACTTGCCCAGCAAGTAGGCAAGGCAAAAATAATTGGTGGTGGTAGAAGCATAGGGATTATTGGAAGTATACGAGGAATATGGTATTGAGGGAAAGAGAAGCTTGGCCCATCACAAATAAACTGAAACACTTAAGCAAGTTTTTAACAGCAGTTTGGAAGAAGGAATGTCTGAATAAAGGAAAGAACTTGCATTGTTATCTTCATAATGTGTGAGGTCAGCCCTTATCAGACAGCAAGAAAATCTTTCTTGTGGATGTACTGTCTCTCCTGGACATTTCTTTGGTGTCTGTAAAGGGTTTTGTTCATGCTGCAGCCTCACTGCGTTGGTCAAAACCACCTACCTAGACATTGCTAAACCAAATTTTTGGAGTATCTCTTTCAGAGACAAAATGCTGTCTGCTAAAATATGTTTGTGCCAAGTTCCATTCCAGATCACATGTGGATGGCTGGGTTCCATAACCTATGTCGCTAAGGAAACAAATTTTACTGCAATTTCTGAAATTCATACCGCCTGCATGTTACAGATTTTTGTAAGGGATTTCTGGAGTAATATTAAGAAAAAAAAAAGACATTCTAATTTCTTGAAGATATAGGCTACTCTTAACGTTAACTAAAATTAATACAATTTATGTGCTGCTGCACATCGGCCTGATTTTATAATTTTTTGTTAGAAAAACTAGCTATCAATAGCAACAGAAAAGTGGTTTTAATGACAGCTCACTGACAGTGTTTGCCCTGACCCTATTTCTATTTACAGAATGGATTCTCTTCCAACCCCTGCAATTAATTTCTCTCTTCCCCCAAATTCCATATTTTAATCCAAAGTGTTAATATGATACTAGAAGTGGAGGTCACTGTAGCCTCTTCAGGGATAATACAGTTGAATTTGAATGAGTCTGCCTTCTAAGGGGTGTAGATTGTCTCTTGAAGAACAAGATTTGTCATGCATGTCAAAAGGTGCATTCTATGTGGGCCTAATCATCTTTCTAGAGACAGTACAATCTTCCTCCATAGAGTTTTCACATTGTTCTGCTCCTATGTCCATTAAGGTGATTAAATCCCATTTTGCAGTGTGAGGAAGTGTAATTGTAGTGCTGCTGTGGGGTATTGAGTCGAGAGAGAAGGGAAAAAAATAAATAAAAAATGTTGAAAGGAGAAAATGATACAGGGTCCAGGGACAGCACTAAATCCCCGCAGCAGATCCTGTGGAAAAAGATATTTTGGAAGTATCCGTTGGAAGAACTGTGTGCTTTGGCCCTACTGAGGATGGATGTTTGATGGCCAGCCGAGGGAAAGAAAAGCATGCTTTTGAGTTTGCATTCAGAAAGATTAATGATTTATGGCTTTAGTTATGTCCTACACCTTTCAACAAAAAGATCGTATTTCATTATTGGTGTCACCAGTGCAAACTCCCTGCTTTCAGTTGAAGAAGTGTGTTACATAACCAAACCAGTTCAGTAGCAGCCAAACACCCTGTACATTTGTACTGCTAATTCTGACTAGGATCTGAAAAGATAAAATCTCTACTTAAAATCATCTATATCTTTCACAAAATAAATGTTTGATGCAATCCATGAAACAAGTATTGCATAAGATCATCAAGCTCTGCTTAGATTTAACAGAGCAAGTGACTGGAATTCCAGTCCTCACAGTTGCAGACATCTGAATACTAAGCTATTTCTGTTTTCATCTTTTGGATGTAAAGGGAGTGTAGCAGTGTTGAAACAGCACTGGTACGTGGAGAGTTTATGCAGTGAATTTAGTAAGTATATTTTTGTCTGCTTTTTAGGTATTGAGTAGAGACGGTTTCATATTCTTTCTGTTCTATTCTGAGCAAGCTAAAATAACTTTTTTTTTTCCTATAATGTCTTGCATTTGGGATTTTATGTAAAACTTGTCTGATATGGTTTTCCTTCTGCAGTTTTCCTAGTGTAACAATAGTGCAGTGCTTAACTGGATTATTATTGTTATTTTTGTGCAGATTGGCCATGCTATCTGTTCTACTGTGGCACAAATTGAAAGAAGGAAATTTTATTTCTTTACTTAGAGGCTGCAGTCAATGGCAGAAGCTTCTGTGGAGGAATACTTGAAAATATAGGATAAAGTGAACTGATAGAAGAGGCTACATTTTGCAACAGTTACGAGAGATTGCGCCTATTGCCCGGAAAGAATTTAGGTTTAGGTTCCTACTTTGGGAACAATATGTATGAGTTGGCTACATTGACTCAATGAAAGTTTGATTCCATCCTAAAATCTTAAGTGTTCCTTGTTTTGTAGAATGAAAGTCATTACTAAGGTAATTAATGCAATCTATTAATAATGGGTGATTTTTGTTACATTCAAATTTAATATCTCTTATTACATACATGATGACAAAGTGAAACAAGGAATTAATTTGTATGGGAGAGCTGTAACTCTAATATTAGAAGTGCTTTGTTGAAACAGCAAATGGGTATGTTCATGTGTGAGGTTTTTTTTTAAATGGGTAATTACAGTTTAAGATCTTGAATGGAATATTTGATGGTTTCTTTGGGAGGGGTGCCAGCTGTCATATTTAGTATGCTGTTTCTCTTGTACCCAAGTGGGAATATGATACTCTTATAAATCAGGTTAACTACATCAAGAGGTTTGGAATTAACTATGATGTCATATCATCTAAGAAGTGCTAAATTGGAACAAATCTTTATCACAGATCCTACTTAATCCTTTTTATATTGCTTGTTATAAACAGATGGGTATTGCCATAGATGCAGATTATATGTAATATTATTATATATATTCCTCTATAGGGAAGACTTAGTCAGCAAGGGATTTGGTGTGGCCTTTGCTGCAGATATTTCTAATTGCAGCTGGGTGAATATGACATGAAGAATCAGCCAACATTTGCTTAAGTAAAAACTGAGAATTTGCTTAGGTGTTCATGACCATTTATATTAGTTTTCTGAATAAATCTATAAAATCAATATTGTGATTATGAAACACATTGAAGAAGTGAAGGAATAATTTGCCTAGTATTTGAGTTGGTCTGTGTTTCTTCAAAGGTTTTTGTTTGAAGAGTTTGAGATCCCTATGAAGTCTTTACTCATGTTCAGTTGCTTTAGTTTTAAATTGAAATTTGGCATAACATCAGAGAATAGAGGCTATGGTATATCAATCATCACAAACAGTATATAAGCATAATCAAGACTGATAGTTAACAACACTCAAAACCTAGAAACCCAAGATGAAACGAGCTATCACCTTTCCTCTTTAACAAACAAGATCTTTAGTAATTTTGGATTGATAGACCAAAGTTGCCAATATATCCTTTGGGGATTTTGCCTTCCACTTCTGTACAAACCTAACTGCAATCTCTTATCAAATCATCGCTCTATTTACAGCATGCCTTTCCTACTAGCAAGTGTCTAATTGACCTTTCTGAGATGAGGGAGTTCTGCCAGCACCCTGGAATCTCTCAGTCACTGTTTCACTACTTTCTCTATGAGGTTTCTTAGGGAAAAAGATACACAATGGTTAGTATGAAATGGCTTCTTGAGATTGTATATTTTATTTTATTTCTATAAGAAATAATAGTACTAACTCCTGGTGTGCAATATTTGCTCAAACAGGAAAACCTCAGTCCATGCAATATGCATTTTTTTGAGTTAACTTATTTGCAGCTTGTGTGTGTTTTTCTCAGGCTGTGGACTATAGAGTTTAAAACCAAGTGTAGTCTACAAAATATTTAGTTTATTTTATGCAGCATAGTGCTGGAAACTACTGCAAATGATTGCAAGTTTTGTAAACTTTTGGTTTTTTCTTGTTTTTTTTTTAATTTTCAAACTATTAATTTTGAAATATTTGCCATTCTACTTAATAATTTGTATTATTTATGTTAATTTTGGTCATGTGTGTTTAATATCATCGACCCAAATACTTCTGCCTGTTGCACTCAAACTAAATGACTATCTCATTTACTGTGTCCTACATTCTTTGCTTCTGTCTTGTGTTTGGTAATGTAATTGCATATGACAGGTGTCTCATTTTTAGCTGAGATGTGGAGGGGAAGGGTATTCACGTGACCACTCAAAAATGCGGATATTGGCTCAAAAAAGTTGCATGACTGTTAGATCATCAATTGGATTTTCTTCATTCTATTTTATACACAGGCATTGCTAAGTTAGCAGTATTAACATTTGCTGCTAAGAACTGATGAAACCAGTGAGTTGTTTCATTCTTTAGTTAAAAGCACGAGTTGTTCTCTGCAAGCCTGCCAGTTTAAGATCAGAGAGCAGTATTTTGACAGATACTCTTTTGTGTTTTAGATGTCAGTAGCAGGTTTTCATGTCCCTCTTGTCCAAGAAAGCAGAAAATCATCATGGAATTCCAGTGGCTAAATTGCTTTTTGTAACTGCAGCCAAATGATTTATTTGCTTCACATTTTGTTCAGTTGCAGTCATGTTGGTGTAAATGCTGCCTTCTCCCATCCCCAATATGTTATTTTAATGATGTTGAAAATCTGTCCTTTCAAAATGCATTTATTTAAATGATACGGCATGTTGTAGAGCGACAGAAGCAGAGTCAGTTGATCATTTAATGTTACTCTGAAATAAAAATTTCAGGTGACAATTGTCTCAGTTTTCCTAAAAATAATCTCTGAATCTCTAAAAGGCAGCAAGCAGCATCAAGGCATATGTATAATTGTAAATCAAATTTGGCTTAGGACCTCTGCTTACCTGATGTAATTTCCTGAATACCTTTCTGCATCCTTTGCAATTTCTTTTCCCTGTGTGTAACGAGATGCCTCTGTTTCTGCTTCACACAATCTTTTTCCCAGTGCCTTTGTTCACTTTTTGTCTTGCTATCTCGTTTCTTGTCCTTGTGCTTTCTGACTTTACTCCATAGAAGATTCCCAGCAACTCTATCCAGTATTTTGTTTTCTCTCAGCCTCATACTGTAATTATTCTTCATAGCTCTCAGCCACTGTGTCAATGAAATCTTTCCTACCCTCCCCCCCGCCAGTGGTAAAGAACTCTAATACCACTTTGCCAGGTGTTTGCCATCTTTTTGTTTGCATTTCTTGAAGGCAAATTTCTTCTAGGAGTACAGATACTCCCTTCCTTTAACAGAACCCTCATTTAAGAGAGTTGTAGGTAGAGACAGGGTTTGTGCTTGTAGGCAAAGGCAGATTTTGTTTGAAAATTATAGAAATAACAGGCAAAATAAATGCATGTAGTCACTTATTGCTTCGGTAAAGAAATAATAAAGACAGCTATAAAGCATAGGACTGTTATCTTCACCCATATCTGAATCTGTATGGAACCCGAAGGACTTGTAGAAGTAAAATTTGCTTTTCTTCCCCCACCCCCCAACTTTTTATTTTTTTACAAGTGCACTTACTAAAACTCATTGAAAGAGTTGGTAAATTGCGTATTACATCCTGAATTTACCATGTCTGAAGCAATAAGGGTGGTAAATGGAGGCAGATAGGCACGAAAATTAGAAAAACTGTAATGCTTTCAGCTCTTGTTGAACATCTAGATTGCTGAGAATATAAGTCTCTATGAAATCTACTGAAGAGGGGAGGAGAAGGCTTCTAAATTGCTCTTCAGGCAGTTAAGTGTCCCTTTATGCTTTTTGAAATTAGAGCAGTATCACAGAAACATGAGACAGACTTCTATGGTGGACAGTATTCTTATGAAGGTAAATTAAAATCTTTGTTTGTTGTTGTCAGATTACACTGATGGGTAAACTCTCTGCAATATATACATGGACACTCAGAGCAAAGTTCTAGAAATACTTGCAGACTGGGTGCAGCTCATTGGTCTTCTTTTTTTTGTTTTTTAATTGAACAACTGTGCATTTTTTTTAAAGCATGTTTGAGCTAATTATTGTCAAGCTACATGTGTAACAGTGATTACTTTCACTGCCCTAAGTACATCTGAGAAACAAGAAGATTCTTTGGGTTTATTATGTTATTAAACTAAATGACATTTGCTTCAGACTGTGCAGTTTTCTCCCTTTTTCTTAACTAGTAGGGATGTTCTTCCTCATATAGAGAAAGAAGGTTCCATGTTTGCAGCTGATGTCATCCCAGCTCAAGGTCTTCTATAATGTGAGACTCCTGTATAGCCTGCAGATGAACTTTTAAACTGTTCGCCCAAGTCACTGAAGCTGTAGCAACCACGAAGTATCTTTTAGTTGCACTAGATGAGGTGTCTGAGGTCTGGGGAGCTGGAGCTGTCCGTCACTTTGAGCCTGCGGGCCCCCTTAAGCATGAGTTAAATGATGATACAAATTTCTTCCTGTTGTAGCTACATGTATATAAGGCATGCATTGTTAAACCCATTGAATATAACAGCACTGCAGTTCATTTTGTTAGATGGTTGTGAGCTTAGTGTCTGCTATAAGTTAACTCAATCTCTGCCCAAAGCTTGGGGGAACCCTATCTAAGGTTTTGCAGCAAACAGATTTTTACCTTAATGCAACAGCATTAAAACAAAATAATGATAATGGGGAGCTCAGTATTCTGGGTTTTGTCAAGGTTTGACATAAACCCATAATCAAATCATTTTGCTTTGAATTTTTCTGTGTTCCATGGCTAAAATGAAGTCGAATACCTACTGGATGTTGGGGATTTATGTACATATAGGGGGGTATGTATCATGTATTTTTTGTAATGGTTTGTAAGCTTTGATTAAAAAATTTTCTAATTGTGAAACCTACTTAGTATTTGGAGAATAACGATTCTTATTTTGACTTTAATGCATTCACTACTTTTAA